CTGCCATAAAGCAGTGGTTTTATTTTTAATAATCTATGGCTTTTTATATATCAGAATATTATACATTAATTAAGAATGAGCTCCATCATCATGTATTAAAAGAAATAAAACTAAAACATTGTTGGATAGAAAGAAAAGACTAAAATGGTACAGGTACAGCATATCATTCAATCATAATTTTTAAGCACAAAGTGATATATATTATATAGACACACGCCTAGGCACAAGAGTACTTTTAAAAATATGTGTGAGCAGAGGCAGGTGGATCTCTGTGAGTTCAAGGCCAGCCTGGTCTATGTAGTGAGTTCCAGGACAGCTAGGGCTACAGGGAGACCCTGTCTCAAAAAGACCAAAAAAAAAAGGAGAAAAAGAAAGAAATATGCGTGAAATCGACAGTCACCACCTTCAGGGCAGTGGTGCCTCTAGCAGGAGAATGTGCAGATGAGGACAAAGTATTTATAATTCTTTTTTAAGAATTATTATTTGTTTTTATTTATGCACCCACTTCCCAGGTAGCACCCCCCCACAGCCTCCCTCCCCCCACTAGAGCCCCTATACGCTGTTATCCCTGCTACTGTCTGCTGTGTCATTGGCACCCCCAGCCATTCCCCCTCACTTGGCCTTCTGGTGAATCTAGTCAGCCTATCTAGAGGTCCTTGTTTTAGGGAGGAGGGTATTTATAAATTTTATTTCACATAAAAGAGAAAGGGGTCTAAAAAAATATGGGGATACTGGAGAGATGACTCAGCAGTTAAGAGCACTGGCTGCACTTGCAGAGGACCTGGGTTCAGTTCCCAGCACCCACATTGCAGCTAACAACCATCTGTAACTCCATTCCAGGGGATCTGACACCCTCTTCTGACCTCTGCAGGCATTCCACAACATTGGTGCACTTACACACACACAGGCAATATACTCATACACATAAAATAAAAATAAAATATTTTTAAAAACAAAAATGGCAAAATATTGATGTCTAATAATCTTTTCAAAAATATTTTATTTAGCCAGGTGTGGTGGCGCATGTCTTTAGTCCCAGCACTTGGGAGGCAGAGGCAGGTGAATTTCTGTGAGTTCAAGGCCAGCCTTGTCTACATAGTGAGTCCCAGGCCAGCTGGGGCTACAGGGAGACCCTGTCTCAAAGAGACCACCCCCCAAAAAATATTTTATTATTTTTATTTATTTATTTTATTTATTTTTATTTTATGTGTATAAGTGTATTGCCTGCATGTGTGTACGTGTACCTGTCCTGTGCAATGCCAAAGGGTATCAGAAGAAGGTGTCAGATTCGCCTGGAACTGGAATTACGGATGGTTGTTAGCCGCCATGTGGATGCTGGGAGTTAGACTTAGATCCTCAGCAAGAGTAGTCAGTGCTCTTAACCTCTGAGCCACCTCTCCAGCCCCCCATTATTTTTATTTTATGTGTATGAGTATATTGCCTGCATGTATATAAGTGCACCTGTGTCATTCAGTACCCATAGAGGTCAGAAGAAGGCATCAGATCCCCTGGAACTGGAGTTACAGACAGTTGTTAGCCACCATGTGGGTGCTGGGAATCGAACCTGGGTCCTCTGCAAGAGCAGTTAGTGTTCTTAACCACTGAGCCATCTCCCCAGCCCCAATGTCTAATAATCTTAATGGCCAGTACATGGATTATATTTTTTGTATATTTAAATTTTAAAAAATAATTAAAATACTAAAAGTAAACCAAAAGAGAACCTTAGTTAAAAGGTACACTCCTCAACAGAGCAGACCTGTACTTCAAGGACTAAGCCATATAAAGCCATATCAATGGAGTCAAGCATTACAGACAGCAGAGAAACAACTATGAATCAGAGATGGACAAATCTGAGGAGTGGGGTTTGGGGTGCAGTTCAGTGGTAGGGCATTTACCTAGCATGCACAAAGCCCAGGGTTCCATTCTCAAACCATGGAGAAGATTATTTAAGGGATGGAAAGAATGAGCATGACTTCGAATCTTTTCACTTCATTTGATAATGGCTTTCCTCTTAAATTGGGATTTGAGTGATGGCTGAGGTTCAGGGCTGCTGCAAGGAGATGATGGGTGACCAGATGACTGCTCACTGACTCTTCTAGCCACTGCTGAGCCACACATTTCCTGATTGCCAATTGTACCATATCTTATACTTTCCAAAGCTTCTATGCTTTTGTTAAATTGTCTCACATGCTCTTTCTTCTCCTGTTTCATGATGCTAGGGATGGAACCCGGAGGCTTCTGTATCGTAAGCTGCCCATCCCAAACTTCCACCCCTCAAGTCTTTTACCCATACTTAATTCATAGTTGTTTCCTAGTCTCTGGAGTCCCTGCAATGCGTAGCAGATGTCACTCCCATTTTGCAGATGGATAAACAGGCCCAAAGAGACTCAATAACTTAGCCAAAGTTAGAGGAGAGCTCTGTAAATTGCACATAATTTCCTGTGTTCTGGGTTTAAAATATTGGAATCACCTTGGACTCATCTCTTTCCACTGCTCTATACAATAAAGCACCAGTTTCTGTAAGCTGTTGCTTCACAGTGTGTCTGTCTGTTTCTCCCCTTCCCTCCTTCCTCCTCACCCTCCCATCCAGGCTTGGGGGGTTTCACCATCCCCTGCCTGAATTCCACACGGTGAGCCGGACTTCCCTACATTGCCCTTTCCTCATTCCAGACCATCCTGCCTTGTGCTAGACTAAACTTCCCTAAACACCACTTCCACTATGTCATTTCCATGCTCGAAAATCTTCAAGACTCTCTTCCTTCAAGCAAGGATCGAAACTACTCCTCAACCAAGATTTCAAAACTCCCCTCACTCTGAACTCACCTTTTCCAGTCAACACTCAAAGAGGAGCTTTGGAAACAGAAATGCCCAACATACCCATGAAGAGTTATTCAGAAACTGCTTACTAAACAGCAGTTATTTTTACCAACCAGTGAAATTTCTTTTGTTTTTATTTTCGTTTTAAATAATACTGCTCAGTAGTAGCAGGAGAAAGATAAAATAGTTTCTTATTCACTGCTGGTAAAGTGTTAACTGATATCTTTTGGGAAAGCAGTTTGATTATGTTATATATGTGATGGGACTCACAACTCTATATCCTAAGGAAATAATTGAGAATACAGGACAAGCTTTATGTCTACAGAGATTATTTGTACCAATACAGTTATGAACAATTAGATATAACTAATGCCAATCCATAGGGAAATGGTTAAATTATGATACTTGCATAAGAGATACTTGTGCTATGTACTGAAGAAGAGAAAGGGTCAGTATAACATTTAGGGGAAATTTAAGGTCGTTTCCTAGTAATTTTGTTTTCCTTCTCTGTCAGAACGCTAGTCCATGCCTCTCTTCATCACTCTAGAATTCCTCCTTCCTTAAACAGATGAGCACTTATTTATTGTGAAAGTGTGTATCAAATTGTCCAGTCTACCAGTTCTTCCTACTTTCATTTTTCAAAGCCAAATGAACTGAGTGGCCAGGCATAGTAGTGAGTGCCTGGAATCTCAGGAGTTGAGTGGTGGAAATACAAAGTCTATGAGTTCAAGGCCAGTCTCAGGTACACAGTAAAGTGTGTCTCAGAAAAGAAGGAAAGGAAGAAAGAGCAAGGGGGGGGGGAGAGAGAGAGAGAGAGAGAGAGAGAGAGAGAGAGAGAGAGAGGCTAATTTGGCCATAGGATTCTATTTTTCTCACTTCTTGGGGAACTCTTCTCTGAGCAGTTTTTTCCATGCCCTGCATTGACAACTTTTTACCCTCCCTCCCACACTCTACCCCTCCCTTTCTCTCTCTCTCTCTCTCTCTCTCTCTCTCTCAGATTATTTCTATCAGCATATAAACATGCTATAAAGTTTTACATCTTAAAAAATAATTCCTTTCTCGTGTGTGTGTGTGTGTGTGTGTGTGAGACGTTGCACTGTAAAGGAAGCCCCTCACTGTCTCCACTTGGTCACCCCCTGGTCTCTCTGTGACCTTGGTTAGGCTTTCTTCCACACTTCATTGAAATGGCTCCAAGCTGAGAGCAGTAGGCCACTTGCACTTGGCCACTTCCTGCTCCTGTTCCAAATTTCCCAGGGCCCCACCTTTCTACTTCCACTCTTCGTACTCCGGACTATGTCCATGGTGGGTGTTGAGTCCACATGGTTTCCTCCAGTCCCAGAAGTCTCTCTGTGCTCCAGATGAAACCTCTCTTTGAATATACAAAAGCTATCTTGATCTTAAATGGGTAGAATGCACAAAATTTCTAACCTGGGCTGATGGAAGAGCAAATACCCAATAAATGCTTGTGACAATACTTAGCATAGATCCTATTATGTCTTGAAACCTTTCATGGGTCTGGAAATTCATGATGGTCCTTCCATCACTCCTTGCCCTGTAGTATTTAGTACTTAACATCTACTGAACATTTGCTACAAGATACACACTTGAATTCAGTCTCACAACCATTGAGCAGGAACTGCTTTCATTTTTATCTCAAGATTGAGGAAACAGAAACACAGACAGGGTAAGTAATTTGCTTATAGGGCAAAGGAGTCAATTCAAACACAGCCCAAGCTCTTTGCCTCTATGCTGTGCCACCTCGCCCTTCTGCATGACAAAAAAACCCATGATTTCCTTTGACCATATGCCATAAATCTGTTCTCAGTTAAACAGTGTTCTTGGTCATGTTACTTAACCTTGAGGAGTGTCCATTTTCTCGTGTATGTGTGTATGTGTGCGTGTGTGTGTGTGTGTGTGTGTGTGTGTGTTGGGGAGACAGGACAGTGTCTACCATGATGTTTGGAAACATCTAGTTATGATTGTTGTGCTGTAGAGCACTCGGGGCGTGGTGGGAATGGAGCAGATGTGCTGATCAGCCTGGTAGCAAGTGAGTGAAAGAGTCCTTCCTGGGCCAAGCAGAGCTTGGATTCCTCTTCTGGGCTTGTAGGATAGGAAGACACTGGGCTTCCAGAAGCTGTGTTTGTCCTCCAGACCTGCTAATCTAAATACCTCTCACTCCTCAGGAATTATTTTAGGACCAGGAAACAACACACTGTTTATTGAAAGAGTCGCAGAAGAGGATGAAGGTGTCTACCGGTGCAGAGCTACCAACCAGAAGGGGGCTGTGGAAAGCTCAGCCTACCTCACCGTACAAGGTAAACAGCTGGTAGGGAAGCAGCAAGAAGTCCAGACACCTGTTTCCCTGTTTGTTTAACTTCCCACCTCCCAGCCTCCTTCAGCTGCCTGGTCTGGTCCTTTCCTCGACCTCATTCTCCCGTCTTGCCACTCTCCCAATGCACTGTCTGGCACTGTCCGTGGGCAGAGCTGAAGGCAGGGGTGGGCTGTCCTTGTGAGCCCCAATCTGAACAGTCTCAATAGGGAAATACTGCTACAGACAGCTGTGTGGTTAAAACAACTGAGAGAATAGCCCAAAGGGTCCACACCTGTGAGAAATAAGGCCGGGAAGAAAGAAAACAGAGAGAAGCCATATACCGAAATTGTTCATTTGCCCTTTTTTTCTGAGTCTCAAAAGTTAGACATGTGCTGGTTTTATTTTTTTAATATATTTTAATTTTAATTTTATTTTTAGTTATTTAATTTTTTTTGTCTTTTTGAGAAAGGGTCTCCTGTAGCCCCAGCTGTCCTGGAACTAGCTATGTAGACCAAGCTGGTCTCGAACTCACAGAGATCCAGAGATCTGCCTGCCTCTACCTCCCAAGTGCTAGGATTAAAGGCATATGCCACCACGCCCAGCTTAATTTTTATTTTAATTTTATGTATATGAGTGCTTTCCTGCTTGTACAGAAAGTACAATGCCCATGGAGGCCAAAAGAGGACTTCAGATCCTGGAACTGGAGTTATGTTGTTAGCTGCCGTGTGGGTGCTGAGAACTGAACCTGGGTCCTCTGTGAGAACAGCAACTGCTCTTAACTGCTGAACCTTGCAGAGTACCTGTTCCCATGTACTCTAGTAAGGAATATGGGTCAGCAGTGCTGCATATCTTGTGGCTGAGAGAAGCCTAGCATGAGACAGAGAGATCCATGCTAGTCTGTAGCTGTCTCCCCTTTTCTGCCAAGATCAGCTGGGTTTCTCAGAAGCCTGTCACTTGTGCTTTGCAACATCTGTGACCCTTGTGTCTATCATGTGACTGCTCTCCAATCCTCACAGATGGTGAGGGTTTCTGGAGGCAGATTTCAGCTCCATATAAGGATATAATTTGAAATAGAAAGCAATTTTCAAGTTGACAGTATGGAACTTAGGGAAGCCTGCATATGTGAGGTAGTCCCGGTATCTTGAATTGAAATGCTCTGGGCTCATTGAATAAGTTTGATCCTGTGATGCTGCTCAGAGCAGGTGACTGCAGTTATCTGTTCAATAATTTTATCACTGAAATTGGATCCTTGCCCTAGAGTTGAAATCGTGATTCGTGTCATTCGGGGGCACTGACGTGTTCCCCAGCATCAGACTTGATTTCCTGGTAGATACATATGGACCCTTCACAATCCTATCTTGTCAAATTGAGTTTAGGAAATGAAACTAGGCACACGAATTGTGTCTGTGGCTATGTTTAACAGATTTAAAGAGGTTCAGGAATTAGCCAGGAAGGAAACTGTCTGCTCTTTTTATTTCCTTTGAAAAAGGAGTCTTATACCCCTAGATAAAACAATGTGTTATTTTTGTATCTGAAAAGGATGAATGGACTGTGGAGTCAAAGCTGCTTCTTTAAATAATCACAGGTCTTGTTTGGTTTGGACAGGGCCCTGAGCACACGTAGAGTACTCAAAGGGGAAATTGCAGTGTCAAAACTACAATAAAACTGTTAGCAACCAAAATTATTTCTGAGCTGAACATAGCACTCACGCCTGTTTTGATGAAAATGTGGCCCATTTTCATCCAAAGACTTAAAGCCATACCTTATAATTACAGGTATAACTTTACTATATGCAAGAGCTTTCTTAGCACAAGGTCTCACTATATTTCAGTAGTATCCACAATTACAAAGGAAGAAACCACTTGAAGAATAACTACTATACTAGGTATCTGTTAGATCGCTGATGGATTATGGGAAGACACAAAGGGATCACAGCCTAAATACTGGACGGGGCATCATTGGTATGATTTGCAAAGAGGGCCGGCAGAAAGTGCACATTCACACTTATGTGAGAAAGGACTCCCAGCAAGAAGCATGCGCTATGCTCTTTAACAAAAACCCGGGATTTAAGAGTAAAGTCAGTTCAAAAGGAAATTGGCATGGGTCTCCAGGTTCTATGATTTTATTGCCTTTTGTTCAATGTTCCCATTTTCCGTTCTTTTTTGACCCATGGCTAGTCCACACCGGTCTCCACCTCAGCTCCCATCCTCCTGAGGCCTGCCCCCACAACTATCCAGGCACCAAGGATGGAGGTGGTTAACTTGGGGCTTTGTGTTACTCCTCCTTTCATAGATTCTGGCAATTCTGAAGGGCATCTCAAGAAGAAAACCAAGCTCAAAACAGATGAATAGCATGTTTCTAATTCTATGCAGGAGGCCGAGGACCAGGAATATATATACCTTTTTACTTAAATTCTAAACTATGGCATAAAGCTTAGTCAAGAATTTTTTTAAATGGTACCAGGGGCTGGGAGATGGATCAGTGGTTAAGAACACTGGCTGCTCTTGCAGAGGATCAGGGTTTAGTTCCCAGCACCCACACAGCATCTAACAACTGTCCTTAACTCCAATTCCAGTGGATCTAACACCCTCTTCTGGCCTCCACAGGCATCTCATGACATGGCTACACTTACATACATGCAGGCAAAACACTCACACACGTTAAAAAAAAAAAAAACTTAAAATAAAGGTGCCAGAATTCAGTTAGGGTAATATAAGATCTTTGTAGCTAGTTCTTAGAGTAAAACAAGTAAATTCCAAACATACCCATCTCATTTCTTCCTGTGGAAACAAGACTGGCATGAATCTGCATGGTATCCCAGACATAGACACAAGCTTAGTGAACTTGGCACTGAGCCTGGAGAAGGCCTGGACCTGTTAATTATATCTTGTGTTTATCAAGCATGCAGTGTACTGTGTTAAGCAAGCACACACTATCCCTCTTAATTTTTTCAGTAATCCTGTGAGAAAGTGCAGTTATTAAAAATAAGAATCTGGTAAGAACTCAGAAAGGTTAAGTGATTTGTCAGGGTCACAAGACTAGGAAGTGGCAGAGCTGACAATCAGAACTACTTGAATCACTGTGTCTCAAGCCAGGAGATCAAAATGGACCAGAGTCCTCTCTGCAGTGGGGTGGCTCTGTCTACAGTAGCTAGGTAACCTCAGGAAGTTACTGACTGCCCTTCCTGGTACTTGATTTTTTGCCCTGAAAAATAGAGATGTTAATAATAGTTTGCTAACCCTTCTAGGGTTGTTACAAGGATTAATAGAGTCTGTCATATGATAACATCTTCGTGTTAGCTTACATTAGTGTTTGCTAAGATGATGTCCCAAGTTTCATTGCAGAAAAACTTTCTGTATTACCCTTTTCCTGGGCTTACTGTGAGTCACCCAAATGGTGTTCTAAACCACAGAATTCCTGTTTGGCTTAAGGATTGGCTTGTTATAAAAATGTGCTACCCAACTAATAGTAAATAACAATTTTAGTAAGCAGTAAATAGTAATTTTAGCTTTTTTTTAAATCTAAAATTACTCTTGAGAATGTACTTCAAATTTAATCTGAGTGGTGGCCCATGCGTTTAATCCCAGCACTCAGGAGGCACAGTCAGGTGGATCTCTGTGAGACTGAGACCAGCCTCATCTACATATCGGGTTCCCCTGTCTCAAAAACTAAAAATAAGGGGGCTGGAGAGATGGCTCCATGGTTAAGAGCACTGGGTGCTCTTGCAGAGGACCTGGGTTCCATTCCCAGCACCCACATGGCTGCTAACAACTATCCCTAATTCCAGTTCCAGGGGATCTGATGCAATCTTCTGGCCTCTTCTGGGCATTGCACACATATGGTGCACTTGGCAAGCACTCATACAAGTAAAATAAAATAAATAACTGTAAAGGCTTCATAAATTGCTATAGAGGTCTACAGGCCAGTTATGCTTTTCCAATAAGCCTCAAGGAAACCACATTAAAGGTTAAAGGTTACCTGAGTTACAGGTTACTGAGTATCAGATGGAAGACAATACTGCATTTGACTTATCTTGATCAGGAACTCCAAGAATCAGCTGGAAGTGATTAATTTTCTTTTTTTCCATATGTAAATCTTTATTGACTTTCTCTGGACCAGAGGTAGAAGCATAAAATTAACAAGTTTTGTTCAAATTTATTTGTCATTTTAAATTAAAATAAATAAAAGCAGGTCAGAGAACACCTAAACCATCCTGTGGGGTCAGACAAAACTTTCGGAGAAGGCTGTTGCTCTGCAAGACAGTGAGTACTTATGTCAAAATCTGATTTGTTTTAGGCCGAAGAGGCACACTGTGATACACGCAGTGTGCCAGAACAGAAAACAAAGCTAAGCAACAAAACGAAACAAAATCCAATCATCCTGCACTTAAGGTCAAGGAGTGACAAGGGAAAAGTAAAATAAAATAATTAAAACTCAAGGGAGGAGCTGAGGGAAAGGGAGGGCGAGAAAGGAAACTTTCAGATCATACCTAACACCAGGTGTATGCATTTTTCCTGTGTCCTCCAATTTTTAAGGTTCGGGAAACTGAACACAGAATCCTTGGTGCACCATACGTCTGATTCACAGCCTCACTTCTTGTCAATTCCTGATGAGAACTACGATTAGTTTTTCAATCAAGGCAGGTCTGGGAGCAAAGAACCCTGGCGCGTTGTATCTTGGGAAACCACGTGGTTATACTGAGCTGAGCTGACCTGGCTCTGCTGCCTGAGATTCTACAGGCCAAACGCCATGCGGTGCCTAATTCCAGGCCAGTGTGTGGATGCTTCACTATTAAGAAAACACCTAGGGGTTAGCTTAGGTCGACCTACTCAGCTGAAGCCTGTCCTGGCAGCTGTTCTGCAAAGGTGTGCTGTTGCCAGATGGCGCAGCCCAGACTGTGCACAAAGAGCCACCATCACCACCACAAAGCCTCAGGACACTGCACAGGGTGGAGACTCCTGACAAGATGCATCACCCCTCAGAACTCATCCACTGTGTGACACGTGGATGGGTGACATGAAGTCTGGGAGGGCAACTGTCATGGGTCACTCTGCACAACAGGGAGAGAATCTACAACAAAAGGCCCAATTGCCATATACTCTTCAAATTGGCCACATTCTCGACATTACCAGTAAAAATAGCCTTGCACAAATGTCTTTTACACAACCCCTAAGGGAATGATGTCCCTGAGACCAGTGCTCACGCCCAATGATTATCGAATCCACCCACATTTCCTCTGGCCATGTGCAGCTGGGCTATTTCATGGACAAGGCTCATCACCTGTCACCAGGGAATGAAGAAAACACTTAAGGGCTCCTTCCTCCCCAGCCAAAGCCTGCTCTGACAGCTGTTTTGCAAAGACAGATAGAGATGCAACTATCAAATGAGCTAGAACATAGATGCTACATCATTACTATAAAATGCTGAATTTTACTAAGCAGTATTGAATATTGATATTAAATAGATCATTCCTGCCCTAATAAGTGCTCTTCTTAAAAAATGTTTTAATGAGTTGATTCCTTAAATGTGTGTTTGCACACAAATAGTCCCACTGGAAGGAATTTTCCTTGAGTAAGGACTGTGGAATTAGACTTTGGGGGCCAGCTTCCTGTCCCTCGGAATGTGGTGGGAAAGTTCCCACAATCACAGAGGGCGACTCACCTCACATTCCATATGAGAGGCCTATGCAGAGGGTCTATGTAGATAGTGCCAGATCTCAAGAAGCCATCTGTGACAGTCAAAGGCTACTACAGTGTCTTCAGCAGGTCCCACTCATGCCAAGAAACTTAGTTGCAGCATAGCCAAGGACCTATGTGTGTGTGTCTGTGTGTCTGTGTGTCTGTGTGTCTCTGTGTGTGTGTGTGTGTCTGTGTCTCTGTGTGTCTGTGTGTGTGTGTACACTAGAAGAAATCCAAACTCACTTCAAGTCTGACCTACAGTATTCCCACTCTGAGGATGTATATTGAGAAAGAAGGACAAAATAAGGTATAAGACCTAAGGATTTGAATTTTCAATTGATTTTTAAAGATTTATTACAATTACGTATATGTGTATGTCTGGGGGCGGGGTATATGCTCACTAGAGTGCAGTGCCCATGGAGGCCAAAGGAGGATGTCAGATCCCCTGGAGCTGGAGCTACAGGTGGTTGTGAGCCACCATGTGGGTGATGGGAACCAAGCTTAGATCCTCTGCAAGAGCAGCTGATGTATTTAACCACTGAGCCGTTGCTCCCCTTAAGTTTTTTTTTTAATCTTGGTTGTGTTAAGGATAGAATCCAGGGCCTTGGCATGCAAAGTGCCCTTCCACTGAGCTACACCTCCAGCTTACAATCTGGAATTCAGCCTGACAATGATGGAGAGCAAATGTTGGCACTGAGGCATAGGAGTGGCAGGATTGAATCTGAGACCCAGCAAGATCGCTGGAGTGCAAAAAAGGCCACTAGATGCAGACAAGCCTGGGCAGATGAGAACTGAAGAGGGCTCTCTGGGGTCCAAAAGTGGGGAAAGGGGAGCTGATAATTTCATGAGCTGTGAAAGCCCAACAGGCAGGACTTCTCTGGCAGGAAATGTGGCCTCTCTGAAGTGATTAACAGGCCCTTGTAATGGCTCAGGAGAAGAGGGAAGGAGGAAGTGGTGTACCCTTAGACCTCTGGTGGTTAAGCATGCAGACTCAGATCAGCTGGACTACAATCACAGCCCCACCACTTATAGGCAAGAGCCTTAATCTCTTAGCACCTCAACTTCCTCATTCATAAAATGGAGAAAATCCAGCTCATAGCAGTGGCATGAGTCTTGGTAAATGAATACGTGCCAGTCCTCAGAGCAGAAAGCACTCAGAGAGTACTGTCACCTCCTCTCAGGCTGTGCAGTCTAGTTGCTGAGGTTAGTAGAGCTCCAGGTGCTGGGAGCAGGATTGTGGGCAGTTCAGAGTGACTGCACCAAAAGAAGCAAACAGGCAGTTGTGACAGCCTTGAGCTTTATTTTCATTTTTAATATCTACTTGGAAGAACTTTGTGAGTCCCAACGGGGCTCTTTTATGTCTTTTTTTTTTTTTTTCTTTTTCTTTAGAATTTCCTCCAAAGCCCATTAGGGAGATCTAACATATGCCAGATTTAGCACTTTCATGAGCTTTTTTCCTGCCGTCAGTTTTTTTCTCATCTTTACTTTTTCCTCTGAGTTTTAATTAGTTAGTTCTGCAATTACAAAGTTTGCAGACTCAACAGCAGAATTTCTGGAAAGTCTTCCACGTCCAAGTTCATAGCCTGACTCGGGTGAATCTTGGTCTCAGGCTTACTGTGCATCAGATGCCTCACTAGCAGGGACCTCCTGGAGGCACCACCTGGTTCACAAGTCCAAAGACCCTACATTCTGAGGTTTCTTTTTAGCAGCATCTTTGTGATTTTCTCTCTTCAGGAACCTCAGACAAGTCGAACCTGGAGCTGATCACTCTCACATGTACCTGTGTGGCTGCAACCCTCTTCTGGCTCCTATTAACTCTCTTCATCCGAAAATTGAAAAGGGTGAGAACCAACCAGATGATCTTAAAAGCCTTTTCACAAAACACTGAGCTGCTGCTCAGCTGTCAGCAGCATGTTAGACAAATATTGGGCATTTTTCTTTCCCTTCTTTCCCATTTGTATTGCTGACCCACTAAATACAGATCAGACCATTGAAATATTTCTAACCATGAAATGGAGTGTCCAAAGAAAAGCTACAAGAGTGAATTTGTCAGAGGCAGGAGGGATCTTTTTGGTTTAAAAAAACATGTATTAGAGTGTTTTTGGTTTTATAGTTTATTTTTTTATTTTGGTACTGCGGATCAAACCCAGGATCTTCCACATGCCGAGCAGGTGCTCTACCACTGAGCTACACCCCTCTCCCCATAGGCCTGTCATATAGTTTGTTTATGTAGAAGGGACTCACTACGTACCCCAGGTTGGCCTTTCAATCTTCCTGTGTCCACCATGCCCAATTATAGATTTCTTAAATGTAACACTGGTTGTACGAAATTGTCTAAATCCCTCTCTCTGCAAAAATTAAAAGGAAAATAAAGATCTACCTCTGATCTGGCTATGTAACATACAGACATACAAACAAGGGTACTGTTGTTGCATACTCTGGATCCAACCCTTAATATTCAGTGTGAGGTCTACATGGGGACTCAGGATATCAGTGTCTTAAAAGTAAGTCACAGTATGACCTGCTTCTCTGAAAATCAGTAAGAAGATTAACATTCATTCATTCATTCATTCTTCATGTCTACAGTATTTACCATGAGCCTACACAATACACAGCATTAACCTGTGTGCCAGGCCCTCTGGTGATACTAGAAAGCAACTTCTACTTTATGGAGCCTGGAAGGAGACTGACTTGACCCAAACACACAGCCGAATGTCACACTGCAGCTCTGCATTAGCTCAAAGAAGTAGTTGACCAAACCTAGATATAGCAGTATCTGCCTGTAATCCGAGCACTCAGGAACCTAAGGCAGGAGGGTAACTATTGTGAGGCCAGCCCGGGCAAACTAGTGAGACCCTATTTTATTTTTTTAGAAGCTAACCAAAATGTGGGGGAGGGGGGTCTTGGAGGAAAAAGCATTAAGGGCAAGGGAGCAGAGGCAGGAAGAGGAACATGGTTAGAATGAAACTGGGGGCCAGGAGGGTGCAGTGGAGAATAAAGGAGCAATAGCTATGTCAAAGTTACCGCAAAGTCCAGCCAGTGGAGGCAATGCAAGGAAGTGAATCTGTTAGCAGAAACCTTGGTAAGGCTGAGGATGGGGTGTTAAGCAAAAGCAAAGTGTGGTAAGGGGAGCCAACATGTGTCTAGGAAAATCACCCTAGCTACTGGGTGGAGAACAGACCAGAGCAGGCAAATCAATCCATTAGCAGGAGACGGAGAGTGTTGCAAGGAAGAAACAATGTTGGGGCTGACTGGATGACTAGAATTGAGAAAGTTTAGGACAGAGATCAACAGCACTTGAAAAAGACAAAAGGCCTCTGCATTTCCTAGAGATTGTCTCTTATTAATGTCCCAGGCCTTATGGAAAGCCCTTTGTGCAGGGTCTCTATTAATCCTATCAAAATGGCAAAGAGGTAGATATGTTATTCCTCCTTTTAAAAAGGAAACTGAGGCTCCAAGAGGTAATGCAATGGGTCCAAAAGTCACTAGAGTTGGAGTTTAGTTTTGAGTGCAGGCTGTCTGACCTCTGCTTGATATTCAAAATCATAAGGCGTAGTTGACAGTTGGAAAGAGAGGAGGCTAGCAGCCACCCTCCATGGTAATATGTGACATCAGGCTTTTTTGCCTCGTGGAGCAATTGGTTTTGAGACATACCAAGGCCACTGTGTTAGAGGGAAACAACAGCTTTGAAAGGAGAGAATACATCTATAGGGAAATGCACACAAAAAAACAAGTTTTCCAGATCTGTAGAGAAGGTCCAGACCTAGAGGAGCTCAAGGGATGGGGCAGGAGAAAAGCCTTCAGTAAAAGCAATGCCTGAGACAGACTTGGAAGGGTGTAGCTAGAAGGAAGGAACCAAAACAGCCGACCCTGCCACCTTCTCCTCCCCTGACTGGAGCAGCAGCTTCTTTACTCAGCAGGTAAGACCAGATTGAAAACCCCTACATTTCCAAAATTCCAGGACATGCAGATGGGAACAAGAGAGCACCATCTAGTTTGCCTGAGGGAGGCAAAGGCGTGCAAGGAATCAAAAAGAAGCCCATGTGGTTTTTCTAACCATAACGCGAATTCCTCATTGATAAGGAATGCATTTTATCTCTTTATCCCCACCCCCACATACCCAGTATTATAACAATGGCCAACACCATGCTGATGCTGGGTAGAAGCCAGGTCTTGTTCTAACAGGTTGCTAGATCCTTTGATAATCACAGCAGCCCTAAGAGATAACTACAATTACTGTCAACATTTCACAGATAAGAAAACTGTGCTTGGAGGAGTTAAGCCACTTGCCCAGAGTCTTTTGGCTGTGTGGAAGTCAAAGGGTGATTCTAGTCCAGGCAATTGTCCTCTATGCCAACCACCTCACAGCTGCTCAGTGTTAATGTCAATAGAAGAATAAATACATTTCAACTAGAAGTCTGCCAATATACTCTCCTCAAAACCCCTGACTAAGGTCTGTGTGGTGTTTTCTCTCATCCACTTGATTGAAATTAATGATTAATTTCCATGGGAGTCACATAGGACAAGCTCCCCCTTTGCCTGTTCCCCTGTCCCTATCAGAATTCCCGCCACCTCCCCATGCTGCATAAATCCAAGATGTTCTTAGCTAGGTTTCAGCAATCCTATGCTCTTTGACCCTTGCCTTGGCAATATTTGACATTAAAAAATAATAATAAAATTATTCCAGTAACTTCTTTCATGAACACCCATTAAACTGTATAGGAATTTATACTCTTCTGCAGGCTTATGACTAGCTGAGTCCTTACAGCCTTACACCAATGCAGGTCACGACAAATGTGTTCCTTATCTTACATGTTCATCCTTTATTGGAGGCCAGGCAAACTTTCTGTTTTGAGGTGTTTGTCCCACATTCTGGTGATAATTTTTGTGAGGAGAATGATTGCAAGTGATGGATGAGGTGACCTGTGACAGCCTGGAACAGTGAGTAAGGGCTGAAGAATGTGGTGGGTGTGAAGTGGTTATGTATGGAAAGGCTGTCTTCCCACTGCAGCTCTGTTCCTGGTTAGGGAAAAAAAAAAAAACCCACCAACCTCACTTAAATGAGGTTTACATAACTTTGAAACAAAGGTTCTATGGGAAAGCGTGTGTCCTTTCTGTCCCATCCCCGAGTTTGCCCATAGAAATGCAGTCATCACTGCTAGAAATTTGTCCATTAACAGGAAATGAACTTGTTGATACAAATTCAATATTAAACATAAATCTACTTATCTACAATCTAGCATGTAGGGTACTTTCTGGGTTTGATTTGCATTACCAAGAAATCAAGTTTTTCATAGCAGATGCCTGTCATATCCACTTGACATCCTAACTCTAATGAATTCAGAATGTGTTGTCCTACTTCACTCCTAGGCTTTTGAAATAATGGGCTTCTAGTTCTTAGTATAGGAAGTCCTTCTCATAAGGTAATCTTTTATTCTAATCTCACGATAGAGCCTGTGGACTTTTGAGGTAGTTCAACCAATTAAGAGCTCCAGACTTCTGAGGGGTTTTGACACTGAAGACATGTACTTACACTGTCCTGGGACCCTGAGTTCACTTTGCCACATCTTTTTTTTAACCTACTTTTTAATTTATTATTTTTATTTTATGTGTATGAGTGTATTGCCTGCTGGTGTATAAGTGCAGTCATGTTGTGCAATGCTCATGGAGGTCAGTAGAGGGCATCAGATCCCCTAGAACTGGAGTTATGGACAGTTGCTAGCTACCTGGAATTGAACCCAGGTCCTCTGTAAGAGCAACCAGTGCTCTTAACCACTTAACCGCCTTTCCAGCCCTACTTTGCCACTTTTTACCTTTCCTCCAAATGTAGAAAAGCTACAGGACACCCCACTGCTAGCCCATCTTAATTCATATGCTCAGAGCACCTCACCATCTTAATGCACAGGACTGCTTGTACAGAACAGCCATAGAAAGCTACTTTCAGTTACTGTTTGCAATTTATTAAAATGCTTTGCATTTTTAAAGCAAAACCTCTCAGAGTTGTTTCAGAACAAGCAAGATGTGTAAGGTCAGTGGCGATTTTGAGAATTTTGGGTGCATTTATTCAAGATAAGATGGTGGAGCTACGACTGCTGAATGTGTGGGCAGAGTAAGGAAATAAATGTCTCATGGAAATGGCACACTCAAGGGTGTGTGTGTGTTTGTACCTGACAAATGACTCAGAGCCGTAGATGTTGCTAAGTATTGTTGTAAATTGAATAACTGAGCTTTTAAAAGTATTTTTTTCTTGGTGACTTTTGGGGTCTCTGTTTCTCAGTCCTCTTCTGAAATAAAGACAGACTACCTATCGATTATAATGGACCCAGATGAAGTTCCCCTGGATGAGCAGTGTGAACGGCTCCCCTATGATGCCAGCAAGTGGGAGTTTGCGCGGGAGAGACTTAAACTAGGTAATGTATTTGTTCAGCAGATCCACAAGCCCATCTGAACACCTACCCCATACCAAACACTGATTTGAGAAATGCAACAGGAAACCAGACCTGGGATTCTACCCAACTGCCCACAAACTAGCAAGGGACACGGACCAGAGGTAAAGTAGTCTAAGGAAATGTTGAGACAGTTAAAACAAGGTGACAAGGAGGGCCCGTGTATAGGTTCAGTGGTTATTAAGCTCTGAGCAATACATTCTGGTATAAGGCCTAGGGATACAAAGGTATTTGGGTCTCTTCCCTCCAAGGGCTAATCTGCAGCTAGATGCCGAAATAGATAAGTGAAGTTCAGAAGAGGGTGGGTGGCTTCCAAGGACGGGCACTTAAAACTCCTGAGGACTTAGACATGTGTTGCCCAGAGCATAACTCAACAGAGTGAGTATCAGCTAAATCACATTTGGTGAAAGAGTTAGTACTCTTCAAGGTGGAGGCTCGAAAAACTCTCTGTTCAAATCCACAGATTGATTATAGACATCCTTTGAGTTTCCTTGTGTTGGGACTTCCAGACAGAAGGAAAGCCCTAGGGGATCACTTAAGTTTCACTTTTGAAGAACAAACACGTATTTTCCAGGTAGGGCAGCTGTTGTAAACAGGCCCCGTCCTTTCCCTCAGCTTTACCCCAAGTTCCTCCAGCTCAGACGTCACAATGAGCATTCATCTCTAGCCTTGCCGCTACAAAACAATCGGAGCCTCAATTACTCCTACCCAAAATGTTTGGATCGTGGCTTCTGAAAGTTTTCCACTCGCTCCCATGTATGCCAGAGTCATTAGTGGTTGGAACTAGGAAAACAGATTGTGAGCCCAGCGTGCCTGGAGCTTGTCACTCTCAGAATAAAGAGCATGCTGTTCCTGATCCCACAGCATGACCCCCATCTCCTCACATGCAAGCCATATTGGGGTGGGGGTGATGGAAAGGATGAAATGGATTTTCTTGTTTTTCTCTTAGGTCTTGAAATGGTTCTGCTTACGCTGGGGAAGGGCAGCATCAGAGCAGGTTCTGTTTGACTTGGGGAAAACCTTGGAAGTCAGCTCTAGCTGGAGAAAGCCAGCAATGGCTACTGATGGGGAAAAGAAACAAGCAAATTTAGAGGAATTAAGGGCAGGTGCCACACTGGATGAGTTCCTTCTGCAAGTCAGAATCATATAGAAGCTTGCTGAGCCTTTGGGTGACCTTGGCAGGGAGCGTGAGATCATTTTCACAATCAGGAAACATTCTCAGGCCATGTTGCTTTCCAGAGTTAGTCACAATTAAGCATGCTTCCTCTAGGACAGGACATAGAAGCTCCTCCCATTGCCAGTCCCTCTATTTCTCTCTCACATCACTGTGAACCACAGCACATCCATCCAGGTTGTTCCCTCCTTTTAACTCTCCTGAGCGCATCAGATTCACATAATCCCATCTCAGGAGAGTCTCCTTGTTGAAGGTCTTACTTTTTGAGCATTTTCCTCTATGGAGTTGCCACAATTGTTATTTGGCTGGTGTCCATCTAAGTGTCTCTGGTGAGTGAGAGAAAATGTGTCAAGCTTTTCAATGCATGGTGTGCCTACAGAACTGGAGGAATGCTCCTCCGATTAATGTGGGAGTGAGGAGGCCCAAGGTTTCTTGATTTTGTAAGCCAAAGAAGTGACAAAGTGATTTGAAGTAATGGCTGGCAACTGAAAATAACCAAGATTATGTCTAGATTGATGGAGAGAAAAAAAAACTTGTTTGATGGTGTTACATTGGGGTTGAAAAAGTAAGAAATGTATAGACCAAGGGGAGGTTTCAGCTGTGTCTTCTCTATTGACTACAATTCCCAGGCCTAGAGAAGCAAGTCAGAAGTTATACGACCAATAGATGGTTCAGTTGAAGCTTGGTGTTGTTATTATTGAAATTCCTGAAATCTAGGAATGAAAGAAAACTCCCTCACTCTTTCATGATTCCTTACTAACCCTTGGAGAAAATTCATCTCCTAAAAGTTTTTATGATAACATCTGACAGCATGTATTTCTACTGGAAAGTAATATACAGGCAGAGTTACCTAACATGGAAAACCACACAGGGAATCTGGTACTGGGTTAGTACTACATCTTATGAGGCCAGTTGCCCTGGCTGCCAAAGAGCTGTATTGATTAGTTAGCTTTTGTCACATTGACCAAAAAGCTGACAGAGCAACTTAAGGGAGGAAGGATTTCTTTTGGCTCATGGTTTCAGGGGATTTAGCTCCTTGTCATCTGGCGCGTGTACTCGCTCATCAGAGCACCATGTTGGCAGGCCCATGTGACCACAGTTGCTCTTCACTTCTTAAAGTACAGGAAACAGAAAGACAGGCAGCCAAGTGCCATGGATAATATACCCCCAAGAAACCTCCCCTCCTGACGTACTTCCTCCAGCTAGGCCTACCTTCTGAAGTTTCCAGAACCTCCAAACATAACTCAACCAGCTGTGGACTAAGCCCTTACTCAATACTTGAACATGTCGGGGGCATTTCATATCCAAAACACAACAGATGCCAAGTTCATGAGGCTCTGCACTCTCCCCAGAGTGGCCAGGTTTCTTGGAAGAGATTACAGTACTCTTACATTGTATGATTATGAAAACACATATCTGACCTAGTTAGTGACATTCCAGAAAACACTGAAGAGAATTCCAACAGAAAGAAAGTATCAGGCTAGGACAAGTTCAGTGTACCTGGTCTCCCTAAAACTGAAAGCATGGGTCTATAGGGTTCTAACACTCAAGATGACTAAAGGCCAGTGATAGTTTCCTGTTGTTTTATGGAGCAGTTGTCAGTCAAGTAAGCACCAGTATGCTCTCAATGATAGAAGCAGAACCCCAAACACTTGTTAAAACAAAGCACGTTGTGATGGCTGAGAGGGGAATGTGGAGGGAACAGGGGTGGAAGATGTGGAAAGGGAGGAGATTCTCTGTACCCCAAAGAAGCAACAGTCTGAGGAGTGTGTGGAGAGATTATCCTGATATTTGACAGGCTCAAGACACCTTTCACATCAGGTAGTAGAATGCTACAGAAGGAAAGCATTGTTCCTTTACCCTGGAAAAAGCAAAAATTTCTACCAATGTGGAGGAAGTAACTACAGAGCTCGGCTCCACTTGATTTCCACATGCAGCACATTTAGGGGCCACTAGATGGTCTTTTGTTTTAACTTTAACTTAACCCATTCTGGTCTGAACAATTTTACATAAAGAAGAAATGAGTGACTGTGTCTTTGTCCCAGTTGCTCTGAGAAGACCAGGGCTTAGCAGTCACCACAGGCACAAGACTGACCCTAGGAAAGATACGTCAGCTCTCAGTGTTACCCTGCTGAGCAGAGTCTGTCCCAGGAGACAGCCACACAGAGGCTCTTATAACTCTAATAACTGAAATTTCCCACATCCTAAATAGATGCCTGAGTGGTGGCAGTGGATTTTAAGAAGAAGCGAGGTGCAGCTGTCTAACTAGTTATGCATAAAAGGATAAAAGTTCTAACATGCTAAAGAAGCAGGAATGCTTCATTACAAAGCTTACAAGAAACTTAAAAATATATACATCCTTTTGAGGAAGGAATTGGAGGAAGGAAGGGAGGAAGGAAGGCTAATTAACTGAAGGCATATTATTAGGGCAGTCTGAGGAAGAAGACCAAGTTGGGAAGGAAGGGGTAAATTAACCTTCTAACTGATGGAATTTACTTTTGATCAGTCATGTTTCACTGATGTTTTATCCCCCATCCTCTTAGGTTTACTCTTCTTTCAACATATAATGTTAGAGATAGGCTGTTTCTTGTGGCTCCATTTAGCTGCCTTTTTCCTTATGGTACAAAGGAAGACCTCAAATGAAAAAGGTAGCCTAGGTATTACAGAGGGTGTCCTCCCTAAAGAGCCCCAGTCTCCTGATCACCATCCTGTAGGCCCTCTAGTTACCTGTTCCCATGAGCCTGTCTTTGGGCATCCCCCAAAGTCCTAACACTGCTCCCCATTCAGCTTTAAGTAGATAGGGCCTCCTCTACACCAGCCACTGCACAAGGTACTTGGAGGATTCAGACAGTGTCCTTCCCGCTCTGAGTCAACTTGGCTCATTCAAGAGTTGGGAAAGAAATGTATTAACAGCCATTATAGCAAAACCTAATGGGTACCATAAAAGATACCTTGCTTTCTTACTGCCTTTGGCAACCACCACTCTTGAAACAAATTACTACCAATGTTGATGGCTCATATTATGAAAAACCATGAGAATTTGTAATGACTGTACAATCATGTAATAGCTACCAGAGGATACTGTGATAGGCAAGGAAGTCTGAGAAATGACCTAGTGTTTATTTTTAGTTATAAGACATTACAGTAACCACCGCTGTTTTTTTGTTGTTTTGTTTTGTTTTGAGACAGGGTCTACCTGCAGCCCAGGCTGGCCTAGAACTCACTATGTAGATCAGGCTGGCCTTGATCTCACAGAGATCCACCTGTCTCTGCCTCCAGAGTGATGAGACTAAAGACATGTGCCACCACACCCAGCTTGTAACCACCCTTCTTGATCCTCCCTTTTTGTTCTAAACAGAAGGAATACCCTCAGGTGGTAAGAAAGAGGACTTAGGGCAAACACAGAGAGACCTTCTTGGTCAGTAAACAGTCAAAGAGACTACCTAGAATTCAATATTCTCTCCCCTCTGGGAGATTCTATGATGAGAAGAATGGTCACTTATCTTCACTGAGGCCTAGACTTGTTTTGTTTTTAAATATTTTATTTTTATTTATGTGCATGAGTGTATTTCCCCGCATATGAGTAAGTGTATCATATTGTGCAATGCCAGCAGAGGTCAGGAACCGGAGTTACGGACAGTTGTTAGCTGCCATGTGGGTGCTGGGAATCGAACCCGGCTCCTCTGTAAGAGCAGTCAGTGCTCTTAAATGCTGAATCATCTCTCCAGCCCCAGTCTAAACTAGTTTTAAAGGATGTATTGGCCTCAGAGGCAGAGGAAAGACTTCAAAGGAAGGGACCCCAGAAATGTGCCCCTTTTGTCTCCTTTGGGGCCACTTCATTGCAGAAGCCCTTCAAAGGTGCATGCCTCACATAACACATAGGAAACGGCATTTCCTTCCTGAAAAAAACTTAGACTCATTGTTGGCTTAGCAAACAAACCAAGGTCTTTTTTCGTTGTAGGCAAATCGCTTGGGAGAGGGGCTTTTGGGAAAGTAGTTCAAGCATCTGCATTTGGCATTAAGAAATCGCCCACCTGCCGGACTGTGGCTGTGAAAATGCTGAAAGGTATGTACACTGTGGTCTGGCTATCAGCTGGCCCTTCACCTTTTTTGCATTCCCTAAATAGTGCTGTGAGATGACTGTAGCCTAACACAAACAATTTCTGCTCTGGTCAGAGCTCCTTTGTTCCAGGAGTTTTAGATTAGGCTGCACTAGTTCAGAATAAACCTTGTCAATGGAACAATCCAGAACTGTCCATAGGAAAATGATCTCTGTCACCTTAAGGTCTTTCTTTTCTCACATCTCAGACTATACCTCCAGGGATTTACATCTATTGCAAACATAGGTTCAGAATGTTACAGTTGGCCTGGTCCACTATGACTGTTGGGAAACAGCACGCATCACGCATCCTAAAGACTCGGCCTGGGTTTGCCTGAATACAGTGAAACTAGAAAGCTAGAAAAACTTAGTTGATCAAAACTTTATTCTATACTGCCAAGCTCTAGGCATAAAACACTCCACTTAAGAATTTTTATTACATCTTTCTTGTACTGAAAGATGCAAAACAACCAAATCACACTGCGATTTGTGAGTGCCACCATCAGACAGACTGAAGTCAGAAGTCAGGGAGACTCAGTGTATAAAACAAACTCTAGAGCATACATCCTTTAAAGTGTAGAAATACCTCTTTTCCTTGTTTGTGAAGAAATGTTCACACTTCATCTTGTGTCAGGATTTCAAAACCAAAAAGACCAAAAACTCTGTGGAGTTCTGAGTTTTCCAGCGTCTCCAAGATATTAATGAAATTTGTTTGGTTTTGATTTTGTTTCTGTTTTGAGATGGGTTCTCATGTAGCCCAGGCTGACCTTGAACTCCTGATCCTACTGTCTCCACCTCCCAGAGTGTTACCACACTGGGCTTTGCTGGAGGATTTTTTGAGGCTGAGGAAGGAAGTTGTATGTCTAAGAGGTACCTGGCCCAGACTCCAAGGGAGAGGATGTTTCTAAACTCACTTGTTGTCTACCAGTGATACCATACTTCAGAAGCATCATTAACTACATTTCCCACCCCAAAATGCTGTCCTTGTCAACAGAAGACTGACAAAACTCTACAAAGGAAGGAGAGGGAGGCTGGGCAATGAGAACAAATCTCAGACTGAAGGAATAAGTTCCCATGTGCTACAGCACAGTGAGGGTGACTATAGTTCACAATAATGTATCATGTTATATAAGAAACAAAGCGAGGCGTTCAAAAGGTTCCACCACAAAGAATAACTAGTTCAGGAGAAGGACTGATTTGGTCATTGCACACTATATATGCATCCAATATCATCACAATGTACCCCAAAATACCTACAATTATGTCGTTCCCTCCTCCCCGCCCCCACAGGGTTTATATTTGCAAGTTAGGACTTTGTTCAGGGTAGAATACTCAGATAACATCAGGTATTTCTGTGAGAATATCCAGAAGCCAGCACTCTCCTCTTCACCCCTGAATTCTGAAAAGAAGTAACATCAGAAAGCACCAGACTAGGGAGCTGTAGAGATAGCTATTGCAGAGGACCCAGGTTCGGTTCCCAGGACCCACGTGGCAGCTAACAACCATTCCTAACTCCAGCTCCAGGGAATCCAACACCCTCTTCTGGCCCCCATGGGCATTGCATGACACATTCATACAGGTAAAATATTAATATACATAATTTTTTTAATAAATATCTTTTTAATTTTAAAAAAGAAAGCACCAGACTATTTTATTTCTTGGTCTTTTTGAGACAGGGTCTCCCTATAGCCCCAGCTGGCCTGGGACTTACTATGTAGACCAAATTGCCTCTATCTCACAGAGATCTGCCTGCCTCTACTCCCAAGTGCTAGGATTAAAGGCATGTACCACCACGCCTGGCTTTTTAAATTTTTCTAACCACTTTATTGTAAATAAGCTGGACCATACAAAACTGCAATTTATCCTATCTTCTATCAACAGCCTTGTGAGATACACATTATCACCTCCCATTTGCAGATGAGGAAAAATGGCTCAGAAAGGTCCAACAGCCTCTGTAAGGCCCACAGCTGCTCAGTGCAAAAGCGTGAGGATTTGTATGCACATCTCCTAGCTCTGAGCCCAGCGCTCTCCCCTTCACACCACAGTGCCACAGAAGAGGGGCTGTAGAGACCTCAGCTTCTAGAGTTGACCCATTGCTCCCTACCCTGAAAATTATCCTGTATCCTGCCTAGAGATATGTCAGAACTGAATGGAAAACCATCTGCTTTGTTAGCAGGTCCCACACACTGTGTCTGAGAGTGAGCCTGATGTCCAAGATACTCTGCTGTGCACTCTAGACCCCTCTGGCCCTGTCTAGAGATGAAGCAATCTCAGCCATGGAACCTGGTCTTTTCTCTTTGACAAAAGGGCTTAATATTTTTCAGGGAGTGTTGTATGGACAAGCGAGAAGATTCTAACTTGAGATCATTTTTGAAGGTCAATTTCTTCTATGTAATATAGAAATCATGTGTGGAAAATATTTATAAATGAATCTCTCTCTTTTTTTTTTTTTTTTTTTTTTTGCTTTTAGCATTGATTGAAAAAAATTGCCAAGGGGGTGGGGGGAGGGCTCAGCAGTTAAGAACACTGGTTGTTCTTGCAGAAGACCTGGGTTTGAATCCCAGCACCCACATGACAGCTAACAACTGTCCTTAACTCCAGTTCCAGGGGATCCGACAGCCTCTTCGGTCTTCCATTGGCATTGCACGACATGGGTGCACTTACCTACATGCAGGCATAACACTCATACACATAAAATAAAAATGATAAAATATTTTTTAAAAGATTGCCAAAACACCCACTGTATACAATTCCTTTTTTAAAAAAAGTTCATTATGTTTTCTTGCTTCAATTAGTTGACTATTTTAGGGAGAAATAGAAAAGGCAGAATGTCAACCGAAGGACACAGACAAAAGCTCTTTCAGCATGTTCCCAAGCAAAACTCGACCTTTTTGGACCTCACACCCATGTCCAAAATGAGAAAACTAATCACACTGTTTATCCAAAAATATTTGTTGAGCAGCCACTATAAGCAAAAGCACTGGGAGGCTTTTGGAGTTTATCTGGTTATTATTAAAAGATTCAATCTTATAAAATCAAATCAAATTATTCCATCTTATAAAATATGCCAGTATCTATCACAATATTAAATGAGGACACCTTTTACCCACTGAGCAATCACATACAGGCTTTCTGTTTTAGCTTATTTGTAATAGCAGAATCTGTGGCTGGAGAGACAGCTCAGTTGGTGCAGTGGTTGCCACGCAAGCATAAGGACCTGAGTATGGTCTCCAGAACTCACGTAGAGAAGTTGAGCTTGGTGGCTCACACTTGTAACTCCAACACTGGGGAGGTGGAAACAGGAAGATCCCTGGGGCTCACTGACCAGCCAGCCTAGCCTACTTGGTGAGCTCCAGACCCCTGAGAGATCCTGTCCCAAGAAACAAGATAGAAGCTGGGCGTGGTGGTACATGCCTTTAATCCTAGCAGTTGGGAAGTAGAGGCAGGTGGATCTCTGTAAGATTGAGACCAGCCTGGTCTATAGAGTGAGTTCCAGGCCAGTTAAGGCTACATAGAGAGGTCCTGACTCAAAAACAACAACAGTAACAACAAATAAAAAACTCAAGATGGACACTTTCTGAGGAATGGCATCTGGAGTTGTCCTCTGGCTTTCACATGCATGTGCACACGATGTGCACATACACCCTTACCAACACACACACACATACACACACACATGAAAAAGAAACAACACAACAAAACAAAAACCCCTGAAGAATATAAATACCAGAAACACATTAATCTATTAAAATCAATATATTAATCTGGTATATTTAAAGGGATAAAATAGTTTTTTAAAATATGCATATGTGATCCTACTTATGTTACCCCTCAAACCCCTCTGGGATTCAGTCCTTTCATTTGGATATTGAAAATTTTTATTTTACATTTATTTTGTGTGTGTGTGTGTATGTGTGTGTACATGTGTGAGTGTATGCATGTGCATGCTTGAGGGTCACGAAAGTCAGAGAACAACTTCCAGGAGTCAGTTCTCTCCTTCCACCTTGTGGGTTCTGGGGATCAAACTCAGGTTATCAGACTTGGCAACAAGCACCTTACCCACTGAGCCATTGTGCCAGCCCTCAATAAGTATTTATAAGTTTATAAAGAGAAGTCTGATCCCCAAACTGTTAACAGTGACTGCTCAAGGAAGATAAGTAGATGACTTGCACTTTTTTCTCTAGAACCTTGTTCTCCAAGAGTTTTTGGTTTTGCTATTATTTGTTCTTTGATTTTTGGTGCTAAAGATTGAACTCAGGTCCTTTCACATGCTGAGGACATGCTGTAACCCCCTACACACACACACACACACACACACACACACACAAACCCTACTATTCCAGATCTTTTTACTCTAACTCATACTGTTCCACTTTTTACTTTTTTTATACTTCTAAAATAATTAAATTTGTTAATGCCTCAGGAATTAACCAATAGGAACAAACACACAGGAGAAACTCAATTTAGGTTTTAGACTGTTAACTCTTGGACTGACCTTGGTTATCTCTGAGAATGATGTTGAAACTGGATGCCATGGATCCTTATAGCCTATGATAACCCTTGAGTTCTAGCAATGGAAGGGTATGGGGAGAAAAAAACATTGCAAAGATGTTTACAGAAGCAGTTACCCTGCCCTTGTAGGCCCCTGTGTTCCTTCTCTATGATTCCCCAGAAAGGAGCAAGAAGAGAGAAGGTGTGGATGGATCCCCTGCTTGGAGGGTTCTTGCTGCACCTGTTTCTGCCCAGAGGGAAAGGCTTTGGAAAGCATCATCATGAGGTGCCCAGTCTGAGTCAGCACATTGTCGAGCACAGCTAGGTCCACCAAGAGGAAATGTCCAGTGACTAATCCCACCACCACACTGGGCCTCACTGTAATCAAAAGAATGTTGTCTCAGGAGGGTAGGAGTAATGAAAACAATCTGGAGACTTGGCCTTTTGTAGAACATGGGGAAGTTAATGAAGCAACTGGGTGACAAACAATGAAGCAATGACAAACAAGGAAGGCAGGAACGCGGCCTCGGGTGGAAACTGTCTCATTGTCCTGTCACCCTGATTTTTCTTTGCTTCTCACACAGAGGGGGCCACAGCCAACGAGTACAAAGCTCTGATGACTGAGCTCAAGATCTTGACTCACATTGGCCACCATCTGAATGTGGTTAACTTGCTGGGAGCCTGTACCAAGCAAGGAGGTAAAGGAAAAGGGGAAGGTCTATGCCATCTGTGGTACATATGCTTCAAGAGAGCTCTCTGACTCACACAGCTCCCCCGCCATGCTTCCTCACCTCTGGGAAAGTGGACACTTGATGAGCACAGAAGAAATAGTCTATCAGTTTGTGGAACGGTGCCCATAGCCTAGAAATGTCTTCCTTATAAGTTAATTGAAAGAGTTGGAAGAATTCACACTCTTTCTTTGAGCTCCTTTCCCAGATTCTGTATCATAGGGAGGACATTTTTCTCTCAAGATGACTTTGAGGGAACGTGACTATCTATGGTTAAGGTTTAAGAGGCTGTGAATTCCCTGCTGCTTCATGGAAAGACTAACTCCTGGTGGGATCCCAGGAAGAAGTAACACAGGAGACGACCAGAAGGGTCCTTCCCTTCAGCTCAGCCATCAAAACAGTCCTTACCACCTAAGGCAAGTAACAAGGATAGTGTTGTCTTCAGACTATGGACTCCAGCATGCATTTGAGGTTAGCAATTGGTTGTAGATGTACAATCATTGCTTAAGTCAGAAAGGAAGGTGCAGAGGACATGTATATACAAATGATCTTTAATTCCCAACAAAGAAGGTAAGAATGAAGGAATAAAGGCAGGGAAGGCCTAGCTGCTAGAAAAGGTAAGGAGTAGATAGGAGCTAAGGGCTGAGAAGGCCAGGAATAGAGTCCTGGTAACCTAGACATAGTCCCATTGCTGGGATAAACCTTCAAGTTGCTGCTTAGTGACCACATTCTGTCTGCCTCAACATTGTACCTGTAAACTGCAGCTTGATTAATGAGACCACTCATCTCCATGTGTGGAGAGCACTCAGGTCTGTGCAGCTGGGCCTTACTAGGGAGACCTCAGCTTTGGAAGCAAACCTTTCTGGAACCTTAATGGAAGAGGAGGTTCTGCCAGAATTCAAAAACTAGCCAAGTACTGATAGTAACTGAAAATCACGTTACAGGACAAACCCCAGCCTCAGTGAGGCTCCAAGCAGCAGCAGGGTGTCTTCCTAGTACTTTGTGCAGAAAGGCCTTTGGAATTTGCTGGTCACCAACTCTGGATTTTCAGGATCAAGCCTATTTTGACCTGGAAGTAGTTCTGTGCTACTGGGGAAGCGTGGTCCAGGGCAAAGGGTTAAAAATGGTTTAATCCAGGGCTGGAGCGACAGCTCAGCAGTTAAGAGCAGTCAGTGCTCTTAACTCCAGTTCCAGGGGAATCCGAAGCCCTCTTCTGACCTCGGTGGCAGTGCATGACATGGGTGCACTCACATACATGCAGGCAATACACTCATACACATAAAATAAAAATAATAAAATATTTTTAAAAATTGTTTAACCCTTTTAAACAGTGGAAAAAAGAAGAGGATGTTTTGTGACATGACATTCAAATGTCTGTGTTTATAAAACTTTATTGGAAGAGGGTCAAATTCTTGGTTCTGTTAGTGAGGGCTGTTTACAGGTTACAAAGGCAGGCCAAGTTGGTTGGCCTGCAAAGCCTAACATATTTATCATTTGGTACTTTGCAAGGCTGCCTGCCTCTTCTCTACAGCCTCTCGATCAAGCCCAAAGGCAAACCTTGTACAGACATCTCCAGATACCTCTGTTGCTGAAGAGAGTCAGGATGTTTTCTGTCCTGAGGGAGGAAGCAGCCACTGAATTCAGGGGCTGGTACGACAGTCACCAGAATCCTCTCTCACCAGGGTCTGGCTAAGGGCCAGAGGGAGCCAACTTTTTGCATCTCCTCTCCTTTCTTCTGTTTTCTACTGTTGCTGGGGATTGAATTTATGGCCTCTACATGTACTAGGCCAGTGCTCTAGCACTGAGCTGCGTGCCCAGACACTGTCACTCCTCTGAAATTTAGTCCTTTCCTTCTCCCTCTTCTTTTTCATCCTTCTGTTTCCCTTGCGCTGCCCTCCAGCCACCTACCATCATTTTCTATTTCTATCGTACATTTCACAATGTATATTCCTATTTCTGTTGCATCTTTATACCCATGTCCGTGGCCTCTCCTTCTAGCTGCATTCCCAGGTCCTACAAACATAAAAGCAGGTTAGTCTGAGGTTTCTCAGGCTAGATGAAAGCTGTCATATCACTGCCTGACTTGGTATGACTGAGAACGTACTGTTTTGGCTACAGGGCCTCTGATGGTGATTGTTGAATACTGCAAATATGGAAATCTTTCCAACTACCTCAAGAGCAAACGTGATTTATTCTTTCTCAACAAGGTAAGAATTTAAAGATACAGTCATTTTTAAAGGCAGCAATGGGTTTCTATATAGACTTGGCAAACATACTTCTTATCTTTCTTCTTTCTCTTTCTTTTTAGCCAAGGTTTTGCTATGTAGCCTGATTCTTCTCCCAAGTGCTGAAATTCTAGGTGTACATTAGCTACCATGCCTGGCTCAATCTGGTACTATTAATTATTTGACTTAAATCTCAGTTTCTGCTGTTTTCCTGTGTCCATATTTTTCTTCAATGCCAATCTGTCAGACTCCTTTGTGGACAGCGCAGAGAATCTCTTGATCCCAGTGTATGTAGAGGTAGTGATTAGGGGTAGATTTACTGTTCATCTACTCATTTACTTAACAAATCATCTTTTTAATTCTATTTCTCAGATAGATGCTAGATAGGTAGATCTTCCATAAATATTGTTATATTTATGAAAGTTTTCATCTATATGAAAACTTGCACAAGTCACTTTGTGTGTCGGGGGGGGTGTTTAGTGTGTGAATATGTGCAGGTGCACTCACCCATGTAGGCACATGAGAAACCAGAAGTTGATATGTGGATGTCTTCCTCAACCACTTCTCTACCTCATAGTCTGAGACAAGATCTCCCAGTGAACTTGAAGCTCACCATTTTGGCTAGATTGGTTTGCCAGTAAGCCCCTGGGATCCACCTGTCTCCGCTCACCCCAGTGCTAGGGTTACAGGGCCACATGTTATGTCAGTGCTTGGGATCTGAACTCAGGTCCTCAGGTTTTCACAAGAAGCAATTTACTCACTGAACCCAGCCCAAAGCTACTTACTTCTTTCTTTCTTTCTTTTCTTTTTTTTTTAAATTGTATTTATTATTTTTATTTTATGTGATTATGTGTATTGCCTGCATGTAGGTAAGTGCACCCGTGTCATGCAATGCCTGCGGAGGTCAGAAGAGGCTGTCAGATCCCCTGGGACTGGAGTTATGGGCAGTTGTTAGCTGCCATGTGGGTGCTGGAATTCGAACCTGGGTCTTCTGCAAGAACAACCAGTGTTCTTAACCACTGAGCCATCTCTCAAGCCCCATTCTTTCTTTTTTTAAATGTGGACAAGTGTATTGCCTGCACACGTGAGTACACCTGTGTTGTACAATGCTGCTGAGGTCAGAAGAGGGCGTCAGATTCCTCTGGAACTGGAGTTAAGGATGGTACTTAGCCACCATGTGGGTACTGGGAATCAAACCCAGGTCTTCTGCAAGAGCAGTCAGTGCTCTTAACAGCTGAGCTACTTCTCCAGTCCCAGTTACTTGTTTCTTAAAGGAAGATAGCAGCAAATATACTTACCTTCATTTGTTATAGAAATTTAAGGACACAATCAGCTGAACAGTTTGTATAGTCACCAGCAGACCAATGAGAGGCCGAGCTAGAAATTGCTGTTTTCTTCTTGTTGCTCTATTTCCTGCTTCTACTTATTTTTATTTATTTATTTATCTGTGTGTGGTGTACATATGTGTGTGGTGTATGATCATGCATGTACATGAGGCCAAAGGAAGATGTTGAGTGTCGTGCTCTATCACTCTCTTCCTTTATTCCCTTGAAACACAATCTTTCATTGAAACAAGAGCTGAGCTTGTAGGCAGCAAGCTCCAATGACCCTACTGTTTCTACTCCCCATGCACAGCCATGTCCCATTTCTTGTATGGGTGCTGGAGATTCAAACTCAGGTCTTCTTGCTTGCACAGCAAGTGTTCTTACCCATGGACTCATCTCCATAGCCCCTCTTATTTCCATTTCTAGACACCTTCACCATCCATGTCATCAACTCACGCAGCATCAACTCTTATGTACTAAACAAAAGATAGGTAATATAACAAAAGGAACATCCCAGGACTAGGGCTTCAGCTCAGTGGAAGAACACTCGCCTACCTGGAACACAGCCCTGAGTTTCATCTTTAACAACACAGACAAGAGAGAGAGAGAGAGAGAGAGAGAGAGAGAGAGAGAGAGAGAGAGAAACCTTGGGGCCAAGATCTGAGGATAAACAAGCCTCCAAAGAAATATTGACCAGAGACAAGGCAAAGGTTAGTTATGTTCTCAGACTCTCTAGGTTTAAATCCTGTGTCTCCACTCATAAAATCTGGGCCTTGAGCAAGTTACTCAGTCTCTCTATGTTTCGATTCCTTCATGTTTTAAATGCATCTAGTAATAGAACCCAACTGATGGGCTTGTTGGGAAAATGAAACTCTCAGTTAAGCTCTTGATAGTGTCATTATCATCTTTGACCCACTGGGATATGACGATAGGGTGAGGCTCAGTGAGAGAGCTCTTATCTAGCAGGTGTGAGGTCCTGGGTTCCATCCCCAGCACTGGAGATAGAGAATAGAGACAGAGACAGAGAGAACAGGGCTTGGTTGAATTCAAAGTAATGCAACTAATCTACATGGTGGATGAATTTTCAGACATCCAAGAATGATGCCCATTTCTGGCACATGGGTAAGAGTCTTCATACACAAATCAGACATGTGGCATGTGCCTGGAATCCTAGCTACTCTGGAGGCTGAGATGGGGGGCTTAACTGAACCCAAGACATCAGCCTGGAAAATACAGTGAGACTTTCAAAAAATGGAACATTGGGCAGCTGGCTCATTCTTTCATCTCCAGACTATAATATTTATCAGACACTGGTGCTCTACCAGACTGACAAGAACTTATTTCCCCATTTTAAATAAGCTAATAATTGAACTCTTAAAGCTATTCCACACTCTCAGATTATATAGGTGCCCAAAGAAGTAAAAAAAAAAAAAAAATAGTTGATGGGTTGTGAGATGGCTCAGTGGGTAAATGCACTTGTTGCTAAGCCTTACAACCTGAGTTGGATCTCTGGAACCCACATGGTGGGAAGAAAAAACCAACTCCAGTAAGTTATTCTCTGACCTCCGCAAGCATGCATGAACACAGATATACACAAATAAATAAATAATAGCTTAATAAAGAAATTAGTTTAAGGACACAGTTATCTCAAATTTGAGAAAAAGACCAAGTTCACATCATTCTCCTTTCAGAGATTTTCCTGTGTACCCCACTAGGTAAGTGGGGACAGTATTGCCCTGGGCTGAGGGCAGCACAGATTCCTGTCGGTCCTGAAGTCCTGGACTGGGCTCAGGAAGAGCTAAGCCCACAGAACACCCCAGGGACTTGGCAGGATGGAACATTTGGGTTTGTGCGTCTTTTGTTTTGAAGAGCTTGCTTCCTTCTCCAGCTATATTTAATGATTTGCCTCCCTGTGCTACTTGGTGGAGCTGTGTTTTCATGGAAAACCCACAGCTATCTGTCCATTTGGAACCAAAAGGAATATAAAGAGAAGAGAAGGAAAAGCCCAAAAGAATAAATTGAAGATAGGTCATGTTATTTTCCAAATAAATTTAATCAAGATAGTTAGATATTATTTGTAATAAATTTGCTGTTCTGCCAGGTCCCAAAAGTCCAGTAAATTAACATTTGTCTAATAGAGAGTTGCCAATATGCAAAGCTGTTGATTAGGGGCCGGAAGAAGGATATGCTAACTTGGACACAGGTTCCAGACTGTGGCTTCTGGGAGGTGTGAGAAAGAAGGCTGTCTAGAGAGAGTGCCCACAGGAGCTGAATTGACTGAAGGGTGGGTGAGCCTGTGAGTGAATCCAGGGAGGAGTGACCCCACTGCTCTCCTCCCCCAACATGGGGGTTTGGGGAAAGAGGCTTCAAGTTTCCTGCTGCCTTCTGTGGCGGGGACTGCCTTGCAGAAAATAAAATTCTACTTCCCAAGTGAGCAGAACCAAATCTAACTGCCCATGGAGAGAAAAGTGACATCCTTTTTGGTTGTTTTGGTTTTGTTTTGTGTTTTGTTTGGTTTGGTTTGGTCTTTTTTTACCTGATCTCAGGGAAAGGTGTTTGGCAAGTTCTGAACTGCTAAGCAGGATTCAGGAAGAGCTAAGGCAGCAAAACTCCCCATAGTCTTAGCAGGCGGGAGTGTTTTGGGAGGGTGTGTTCCCAGGATGGTCTCTTTTCTGCATGCAGGCAGCTTTGAAGCTATACTCTTAAAGGGTCTCTTTGGGCTGTCCTTCCCAAACTCAGTGTCCTCTTCTTGCTCCACTGTGCCCTCCAGTGGATGGACTGATCACTCCTGCTTTGTGACATTTTTCAAAAACTCAAAGGAGGCTGATTAATCCTAGAGTGGCTATAGCTGAATGGCAGTCCCTCTCAGCCAGTCTCAGTATTACCATTGAGCAGAATACAGGCTGTGTATGTGGGTGCATACACGACTGCACAGCCCAGTCCTAAAGCCGCTGACCTTGCTGAGTGTCTAGTGTCATAACTGCTAATGAATTATTGAAGCTAATTGAAATCTTTCTTATGCCACATGGACACTGGAAAATATAACTCCTTTCCTATAAGTCATAAAATGTAGGATAGTGCTTTTTAGAGGAGGAAATGAAACCCAGAAAAATAAGGGGATTCACCCAAGATGGCAGGATTAGTGGAAGAGCTAGAGAACTATAAAGAGAAGGAAAAGACTCAGACGGCAGACCAGGATGAACAGGTCTTTGCTGCTCTTGTTAGGATCAACCTGTATCCTTGACTTGAATGACAGGGAAACAAAGAAAAATGTGCATGTCCCCTTCTCCAAGAAACCAAAGAAACTGTGACTAGAGCCTTCTCTTATAACTTCCATGGGGGTTACAAAGGACATATTATCTGAGTGAGGATCATGATGATCTACATCATCATTCACAAGATGGCACGTGCTATGGAAAAGTAGTGAAGAGTTCAGACTTGAGAGTTTGCCAAACTCCGGTTCAGCCTTTGCCAACTAGTAGCTGTGGCTTTAAGTTTTCTGAACCTGTTTCTCTATGTACAAGAATTGTTCCATACTCTAGATAGGCTGACTAGACTCAGTGGATGGACTTGCACTGGGTAACAGCTGGGGGCACTGATAACACAGTGGACAGGAACAGGGATGACAGAGTATACGGGCTCCAGTGGAGGTTGTGGGGAGGCTATGGGAGGGTGCCATTTGTGATGTGGGTATAAAGATGAATAAGATTGTTTGGGATGTTCTGTATGGAATACCCACAAAAAAAACTATAAATAAAAAAAGTTGAATAAATTAAAAAGAATTGTTCCATAAAACTGTTGGGAAATTTGAGAAAATATACACTAACTTGCATGGAGTAATTGCTCAGTGCTTATCAGCTGCTAGGAAGCTTCATTTGGTTGATCTAAGATGACTTCTAGAAACCCAGGCAAGAGCAGAAGAGATTCTACACCCCCAGAAGTGGCCAGAATCTGGATTCCAGTGTCCATTCAGTGCCCATCCTGTGCAGTGACGTCTCTGACTGGTGCTGTGACCTTCACTGTGCTGGAGCCCCTTTGACTCCTCTGTGTTTCTTGATTTATTCTAAGGATGCAGCATTACATATGGAGTCCAAGAAAGAAAACCTGGAGCCAGGCCTAGAGCAGGACAAGAAACCCAGACTAGACAGTGTCACCAGCAGTGAGAGCTTTGCAAGCTCTGGGTTTCAGGAAGATAAAAGTGTAAGCGATGCTGAAGAAGAGGAGGGTAGGTATTAATTACTTCCTGCCCTCCAGTCTGGGGTATTTTTACTGCATACTGTGCATCTCTGACATTTTTTTCTTATTTATCGCCCTAATAAACATCTGTGGGAGATTCGGAGGGTAATGTTCTGAGGAGATTAGATTTAAATAAAGATTATTTACAGAGTTACTAATTTTGACAGGAACTGTGCACTTCTCTCCACTGGGGCCTATCTGTCTTATGGAGAGTCACCCCATCCTCCCACCCTCAAACCCAAAAGGCCAGAGGCCTGGAAAAATCTCTGATATTCATGTTGAGACTCAAATGCCCTTGCAAATGAACTCTGACGCCCTTGTTGGTTCATTTTATGTTTTGCTAACATTGTTCTAATAAACTGGGATTTGGTGTAATAACAAGTACCTTAACAGACAATCCCGGTTCTAATGCTTGGCAGATTCTGATGAGTTCTACAAGCAGCCTCTCACCATGGAAGATCTGATCTCCTACAGTTTTCAAGTGGCCAGAGGCATGGAGTTTTTGTCTTCCAGGAAGGTATTTCTGTTTTCTTTGGTATTTAGTATTTCTGTTTTCTTTAACTTTCTTAATCAGAAAGAGACATTAGGGTTTTTTTTTTTTTTCATTTTAAATTTTTTTTTCAAGTTTTATTTATTTTTATTTTATCTGTATGATTGTTTTGCCTGTATGTATGTAGGTGTACCACATGTGTGAAATGCCCACAGAGGCCAAAAGAGGGTGTCAGATCTCCTGAAACTGGAGTTACAAATGGTTATTAACTGCCGTGTGGGTACTGGGAACTAAACTCGGGTCCTCTGCAGTCAGTGCTCTTAACCACTGAGCCATTTCTCCAACCCCTAAATTTCATTTTTACATATGTTGTTAAATTTAGATTCTGCATATGAGAAAAAACACAATATTTGTCTTTCGTTTTTCCTCCCAATTTCTTACTTTTGTTTTTATTTTTAGCTAATGCATAAAGACATACAGATTTATACATTAATGTGGTATGATATCAGGTTTCAATACATGTATATGTTGTGCATTATTTAAATCAGGTTAAATGCTTTTATGTCCTCCAATATCTATCATTACTTTATGGTAAAATTTTTGAAAATTCATTCTGCTATTTTTCTTCTTTGCAAGGCCCAAACACATGCCTTTGCTGTAAATTCATTTTTCCTAGTATTTGCCTATATGTATGTCCTTAACTGTTAACTGTAGAACAGATGTCACCTCAGTGCCCTTAACGTGCCCTGATATGAAGAGGTATGTGAATAAGCCCCAGTGGGCCCCAGTGGGTAGAAGATCCTCACAGGGGTCTGGACTGCACAAACCCAGCACTATTTCCTGCAATGCCCTCTGGCACTTTCCCAAACTGTCCAAGCTTCACAGAAAAGCTGCCTTCAGTATGTTTACCCAGAGCGTCCCACAAAACCTCAGCTCAGGCCAAGCCCTTGCTGTAATCGCAGCATGAGGGAGCCTGGGGCAGAAGGAGCCCTAGTTCTATGTCAGCCAGGGTTACACAGTGAGTTCCAGACACCAATCTACACTACACAACAAGATCCTGTCTCAAAAACAAGAGCAACAAACAGAATAAACCACACTAATCCAGAGCTCCTAAAGGTTTGAGCTAAATGATGATGGGGAAGTTTTGCTCCCTGGCAAAATTTATACTGCCAGTGGGGTTGACCAGGATGCTCCCTGCAGAGCATCTTTGGGGCCTCAAGAACCCTATCTTTATGCAAAAGCACACCATTTATGGTAACATAGTGTGTGCTGAGAGTTCCTTCCTTTACCATATGTGAAATGGGTCTTCAAATTGCAATTAATAGCACTAGGTCTGGTGAGATGCCTTAGCAGGTAAGGGTACTTACTGCCAAACCTGATGATCTGAGTTCGATCCCTGGAACCCCCACATGATGGTGGGAGGAGAGAACCGACTTGTACAAGTTTTCCTTTACACACACACACACACACACCAAACATACACATCCTTTTTTATTAAAAAAAAAAAAAGAAAAATGACACTTGAGGGGATGCAGGAAATCAAGCAACGTTTGGTTAAGGAAGTGTATTAATTATGCAACTGTTTTATTATAGTGCATTCATCGAGACCTGGCAGCTCGAAACATTCTTTTATCTGAGAACAATGTGGTGAAGATTTGTGATTTTGGTCTGGCCCGGGATATTTATAAGAACCCCGATTATGTGAGAAAAGGAGATGTAAGTTAGCTGGGTATTTGATTCATTTACACCCTGTCGTTCTTGGACCACAGACCAAAGCCCTTAGTAAATATTTACACTTCCCAGGCAGTAGTCTCCAAAAATTCTCATGTGCATCTCTGAAGACAAGCAATCTGGAAGAGCTGTTTACCAGGGAACTTTTGTGCCAGAATCTTCTGGTTGTTTCTGATGCCTGGCTTGGTACCTGCTGTTTGGGCAGCATAGCCCTGTGATTTACTAATCTGAGTAATGTGCTGGGTGGGCCTTGCAAGACCTCATCAGTCCCTGCCTACCACTCCTCTGGGCGTTCCATGTCCTACCCAAAAAGAACAGCCTGGCCTCTTCCCCTCAGATAAACCTAGATGATTTATCCAGCAGGTGTCTGTATTTCCCAAAAGAATGGAGGGAGGAAACGACTTACCTCCCTGGATGCCTTCCAGGGGACCCATCTCCCTGCTGGCTCACACTGGCCTTTCCTCCTCATTTGTTTTTTGAACATGGTGTTATTTGTCACTTCATGGGTGACTTTCTGTACTTTCCTTTGTCCAGCCTCTGCCAGGTGGGCTTCAGCTGGGGTCTGGGCTGTTATGATTGCTCTACAGCAGATATTCAGATTGTAGGGAGCACAACCATGATCTTGCTGAACCACAGCTGGCTATCCCCACCCCAGACCTCCTGGTGTAGTAAGTTCTAGATGGGGCCTGGGAAATCAGCATTTCCAACAAGTTTCCAGACCATGTTGCATGAACACAACTGCCCTAGACCACACTTTTCACACCCGCTGTTTAGTTCCTTTTTTCTAAAATGGTAAAAGGCAAACTTTCCATGGGTGGCGCTGGTATCTGCCTGTGTGTCGGTTTGACCCTCAGTGCTTTTGGTCTTCACTGTCACTGTCTCAGCATCTCTGTGCCCCTCCCCAGTCTTTGTCACCTCTTTGTCTCTCCATTGTCCCAGGCTTGCTAACCCCCATCAACTCAACTCCCAAAGCCATATATTCTCCTAAATACAAAATGCTTCAGTGCAGATCACTTTCTTCTCTCCCTGGCCTTTTCCCTTACCATTCCTTGACTTTAGGGGAGAGCAATGTGGGAGATTGAATAAAAATCAAAGCCAGGGCATGCACTCCACCCCTGAGCCACATCCCAGTCCCAATTCAGTGACTTAAAATCCTGTTATTTTGCATAGGAATTACTTTCAAAATCTTCCTTCTTAGGAAAAATTCATAGAATTGTTATCAATTTTCAGGGTGCTTCCTAATTCAGATTACTCATTACTAAGCCCCCCAGTGTCCCTGTGGAAGGGGAAGGAGACCACAAGAAGACAACTTCTTTCAGAGCCATGAAATCAGGACCTGCTGGGTGCAGCAGAGGAGATTATCTATCTCCAGAAGAAGAGGGTAGCTTCTAGGGCACTTTCAGCAATATGTCACATGTTCTAAAGCCTTCTCTGAGTTTGGAAGCCTAGCTGCTCTGGAATATGGTTTTGGACCAGTGCTAAGTGGGAGGGGACCCCTGGACCCTGATGTTTGGGGTTTGAATGTTGCTTTATTTTCATGCCTTTTGTTCAAAGTCCCCCTGTTCTTTTCCAGACTCGACTTCCTCTAAAATGGATGGCTCCTGAATCCATCTTCGACAAGATCTATAGCACTAAGAGCGATGTGTGGTCTTATGGAGTGTTGCTGTGGGAAATCTTCTCCCTAGGTAAATGTGCAGGAGAGAGGGGAATGGAGTAGCCCAGAAGTAAATGTCTGTGTCCTCTTTGGAGCATCCCATGGATTCCCCCAACCTTGAAGTCAGTACTTGAACACACTACAAACCCAGATGGAGGCCAGAGTCCAAAAGGCCTGTAGATGAGCAATGGTGGATGTAAGCCTTACACTGTAGAAACTGGTTTACAGCCATCAACAGTGTCAGACAGCAGAAAATCTAAAGACGAGGCTGCTTGTCTGTCCTTTGCCTTCTCCAGTTTCTCATACATCCAGATCATATGCCTTCACTCCTTCCCTCTTTGGTCTTTTGCCCCTCAGAATTTCTTCTCAGGAAAGAAGACTTTGCTAGAGGCAGCTGACCTTGATCTTGTACCTCTGATATTGGCATGGCCCTGCACACTGATCTATGCAGACAAGCAAAAGACCACTGGTTAGGTTTGTTCTTCCTATAGAGCCATTCACTGTAGGTGTTTAGAAACGTGCATAGAGCCCCATCTGCTCACACACGGAAGGTGTGAGCCCTCCCAAACCTGAGATCTAGCCAACAGTCTTTGAACTTTGCCAAAAATTTGTCTTTCACAGCAAATAAAAATCATCCAGTAACATCCCTGGTTTCCTATAATGTGTAAAATCCATTCCCCTGCTTTCGATGACAGGCGCCATTGCTTCCAGCCTTTGAAAGCAGTTTGGCAGCCACAGTGGCCTCACAGTGACACAGTGCCAACACTGCATGTCTCTCAGCTGCTTCCTACTATCAGGAATCACCAGAAAATGCAGATAAACACATGCAGAGGTGGCTGGAGGGATGAATAGAGCTTCCTGGGAGGACTTACATACCCTACTCAGTCCAGGCTCCCCTCAGGAAGATTTGCTACAGGGGCTGTTAGGCTGGCAAAGGCAGCCTAGGCCCCACTGGCACCCTCAGCTCTGCAGATTCTGGACAAGGGGAAGCCCACATCCATCCCAGTCAACCTTACCCAGGGGCCCCAGGCACACTCCCACAGACCTCTCATAATCCCTCATTCCCAGTACCATCAGAATGAAAATCATTTTCACTGAGACTGGAGTAATCCACTAGTAGCCTAGCCTAAGTCCATTGGTTTTCCAAGGGGAGGTCATTGACCCAGGCAATGAGTTTCTAATGATAGGATTTCCTTAGAGCTGTTTGTAGGGACAGGATAGGACTGCTTCAGATTGCTTTTTCCCCTGACCAAACAGGCAGGAATGGCTACAGGAATGACCGCCAACCAGCCAAGGATGTGCCCTCAGCAACAGTCTGCTGAGCTCCCCTGCATTTTTTCCGACACTGAGATTCGCCTCAATCACGGGGAATGTATTACTAAGCATCACTGTTTACTATTTATTTATTTTGGTTCTTTAAGAGTATCAGTATGTAGCCCACACTGGCCTCAAACTAACAATCCCCCTGCCTCAGCCTCTCTCCCAAGTACTAAGATAACAGTCATGCACCATCGCATTCGGCTAAAACATCACTTTGAAGGAATGAGAGAAATACTGAACTGCCCCTCACGAAACCATTATACACGAGTGTCTTTTCACACTGTCTCCTGCAGGAGGGTCGCCATACCCAGGAGTGCAGATGGATGAGGACTTCTGCAGTCGCCTGAAGGAAGGCATGAGGATGCGGGCCCCTGAGTACGCATCGCCTGAAATGTAAGCTCATGGCTTCCTCCTTCCCCATTCACTGTGTTCTCCTCAGGGCACCTGGGTGGGTAAGGAACATGGATCTGTTTTCAGTTTCAGTCTTCAGGGACGCAAGTCCTCAGCCCCTATTGAGCTCAGCTGTGGTGGGAGTGTTTTCCTGAAGTGGTTGTAAGGGATCCATCCCCATTTCCTCTCCAGCCCACTGACATGACCCTTAGCTGAGAACCGAAGTTAGAAATTCAATTTCTGAGTGTAAATCCAGGCAGAATGAATACAGTGCCTAGGAACTGAATGCAATCCAAGCAGAGCCTAGTGAACTAAGCCACCTCCTGTCAAGGCTACAGGACCTGTGGCCCAGTCCTCACCCACATGTGGTGCACACTGTATTCCACAAAAGGCCTGTGAGTAGAGCTAGGGATGTAGCTCAGTTGATGGAGTGCTTACCTGGCATACACAAGGCCCTGGTTTCATCCCCAGCACTGTATAAACCGGGCCTCGTGGCAAAAGTCTGTAATTCTAAGCACTCAGGAAGTAGAGGCAGGAGGATCTCACAGTTCAAGGCTAGTCTGGGCTACATGAGAGCCTGTCCCCCAAAACTTATAAATAAATTCTTTAGGACTAGGCAGGCAGCTGACTGGAGGAGCTCTTGACCATGTGCTTCTTGAGGTGCCTCCCGTGTGCCTCCCCATGTGCCTCCAAGGAGGAGGTAGGCTCCGAGGGATGCTCCCCATCAGCTGGTTTGCTTGCCTGTTGTGGGCACTCTTTCCTATAACTTTGTACAGTTTGCACTTTGAGGTCTGGGCAGGAATGTGATGACACTTGCAGTTTGGAAGAGCTGCTGACAAGGACTTGGGCCTCCCTGAGGTGGCGCCACCTTTCCTGAACTGGCAGGCAGCCTCCCCACCCCACCCACATAATGAGGTCCTGTCAGCCCTGGACTGGCCTTTGGGGAGGAGTCAGGACACAGAAGGAAGTGTGGGCTTGGAGAAAGGGCAAGGTCGCAGGCTCTTTCCTTCATCATCTCAGGACAAAGCTAGGTTAGAGCCGAACTGGATGAGAAGACAGAGAGGTCAGGCATGAAGGCAGGGCTGGGAAGACACAGGGCACTCTGTCAGCACTGCACAGCTGTCCTCTTCAGGGAGCTGGATTGGCCTCGCCACCTCCTAGGCTGTAGAGAGGGTTTGGACTTGCTGAATTCCTTACTTAAATGTGGCAAGAGGGGAAATGCCAGGAGTTAAAATAAGGTGACTTCATACTCAACGCCTTCCTAAGTGTTTTCCTCATTTATCTCATGTAGATTTCCCACAGTCTGGAGAAGTAGGTAGGGCAGATACTATAATCTGAACTTCACAGATATCAAAACTGTGAGAAGCACTGTACCTTCTGCCAACTAAGTAGCAGAGGAGACAGACCCCAATCCCTGAGAGTGATATCCCAGAGGCATCAAATGCTTCATATTTTGCAGAAGGGCATGCTCTGATATGCCCACATGTGCTCTGAATTAAGCATATCCTTCCACTTTTCATTTGATCTGAGAATAGTAAGTTCTCATTGCCAACAGTAATAACCATTGTTGTTATTATTCAATATTTATTAACTGGGCTGGGGGGATAGCACAGCCATTAAAGGCTAAGGCTAACAACCAAAACATTAAATATTTATTAACTAAGTATTGTTAGTGCTTGCAAGAGGTAAGCACTGTTTTAAGTACCTTTAACCAATGTTAATACATCTAAGACTCACAACAACCTTGTGAAATAAGTGCGAAACCAGGGCACACAACATCTAGTATCCAACTTGATCTGCGCAAGACCCCATTACCAATCAGTTAGCAAATTCCATCTGAGTCCAGAGTCCACACCATCCTGCCTGCAGGGGCTGTTTTCTGCTCTCATTAGATTCTGATTCAGAATAATTCTAGAGGCCCAAAAGTCACTCCAGTTTTGGACTGAAGAATTCTCTAAAGCCAGGTGTGGAGGCACATGCTGTAATCCCAACAGTGGCAAGGCTGAGACAGAAGGTCATAAGTTTGAGGCAAGGCTGAGCTACATAGTGAGACCCTGCCTCAAAAAAAAACCCAAGCCTCCTTTGGAGTTATTAAACCTTCAAGTCTTTCCATAAGCCTCCTCCAGGTAGCTGAACCACCCCAAAAAGCCTGTAGACACAGGTGTGGTTCTGAAATTTAAAAGATAAGACATGGCTTTGTAAAGTGTTTTCTCAAAAGGCTGGATCCAAACCATCAGTCATTTTCTCAGGCAGGTGAGAGATGAGAGATTAAGAGACACCTCTTTATCTGTTTTGACCTTGGGTGAGAATACAGTGCAGCTTTTCTGGGCATCTGTGACCTGAACTTGGCCTACAGTGGTGAGCATCTAGAAAAACTAAGGCGATAGCTTGTAAACTCTCCCCACAGGCCCTGCAGCCTGTCTTGGATGCAAACGTCTGTCTCTTAGGAAACCTTTTTACTTAGTGAAGAAAATGTAATGTTGAGTCAGTGGCTAGCCCAGAGCCTGTTTAATCAGATGCCTTTTGATAAGAGAGTAAGCAGTGAGTGCTTTTCTGTTTCCTTTGGTGTCTGCATGGACTTGTAGGCCAAGGAGTGGAATCCAGAAATCAGAAGCCAGGAACACAGGAGTCCAGCAAGTGGTCATAGGTGGTCCCTGCTGCTAGTTCCTCAGAGAAACTGGGGAGGGGACCACCCAACTAGTCACACCTCCCAGAAGGCCGCTCATCCATCTGCTATGCTATGACAATGATGGTGCTGGTAGAGATGAATCTGGGGTCTCTGCTGAATGAAATGTGCTCCCCACCCCCTAGGCTCAGGCACCTTTGTGTTTGCTGGTTGTGGCCTTCCTTTTTTGCTGTGCCACCTTTTATAGATCATCTAAGTATGTATTTGATATTCTTCCAAACAACTTTGAGAGTCCACCAAGTGCTAGGGATAGAGCCTAAGACTGTAAGATTTGAGTGTGGTAAGGTTGAAGTCAGCTAGCCCCTGAGGATGCAGGCTCAAACTTTCATTTAGTGGTTGCCTGTCTGTGTGGCATGTTTTTGCACCTTCTGTAAACAAAAATCAGTAAATTAGTAAAATATGTGACCTTACCTTAAAATAAGATCCGTACAGGATCCTATGAGATTATGCATCTCGTGCTATTTCTGCCAAACTTTGACTGCCAGTATGTTAGCCCAGGTGGTTTGAATGGCCAGTCCTGAGAGTGCTCAGGCCAAGTGCCTTGAGCCATCACTTCACGGTGCTACTGGCCAAGGACAGTTAGGACTTTTGGGTGCTGTGTCCACATGTCACATGTGTCCAAGAAAACAGGGACGGTAACCGCGATTTAAGAAAATCAATGCTTAGTTCCTCTTAGTCTTTGGTCTCTGAAGGTTGAGACCCAGTGTAGTGTATGCCCTGACTCAAGTATCACACTCACAATGTTCCCACAGTACTTGGAACCAGTGCACATCCACCATAGCCCCCGGAGTCAAGTGAAATAAGTACACAAGAGGAAGTGCAGGGGTGAAGGGAACCCCAGAATCTCCTAAGGAAAGCATTAACCCTCAGGTTTGGATAAGGACCAACACAGAGGCTTATCAAGAGCAAAAATGTGAATTAGAGAGTCCATACCTTTGTGTGATCTTTCTGAGCTCCTGCCCCTTAGTCAAAGACTTCATTCCTATAATCCTAGCATTCTAGAGACTGAGGCAGGAGGATTGCCATGAGTTTGAGGTCACTTGGCCTACATAGTAATACAATGTCTCAAAACGAAGTAACAACAAAAAGATTAGATCTTCTGGCCAGGTATACTTGTCAGAAAGCAGAGCCTGAATCCTATCAGAAACCTTCCTTTTAAAGAAGTAAAACCATACGAAGCCCCCAGACTCCCAGGTGCCTGGAACGATACCCTTGGGTTAAACGACAGCCTTGGGACCCTGGTTGCTGGAACACATTGCTCTGCCTCTTAGAACTGTTACTGCATAGTATTCTTTGTTATTGAGCCTTTAGCTAACACTGAAAAACACTGTACTAAATAATCCAATGATGTTATTACTACCTAGGTAGTGGTGTGGAGGGATGTCCAAGACCTTTCAGATTTCAGTGCTGGGAACAAACATACTTTTTCCAAGTAACTGGTTCATTTCTAACTTCTGCTCTGTGTGGATCATAGAACTGAGTACTCTTCCTTTTCACCTGTTGCCTGGAAGATGAAAGCCAGCTTTTTATCAGAGTCCTCAGAACACTGATATCAATTCCGATATGAATTTTGCTCCTGGTTTTGCCTTCTTTCTTGTCATTTTAAAGCTTTCCTCCTGGTATCATTTTCTTCTCTTCTTTTAAACCTCCCAGTGTTCTTAGCTGCCTTTGTCAGACACCTCGCAGACTGTGAGACAAAACAGGGATGTCCTGAAGAGACACTGGGAGCTGCAGGGGCAACTGGAAGCACATATGTAGCAGTTGGTGGGGTAGGACAGTTTTCAGAGTTCCTCAGGCTGTTCCCCTGGTCACATCTGGCTCCCAGCACCTAAGGTAATGAGTGCAGTATGACTGAAGAATCACAGGAAGGGCAGAGGTTCTGTCAGCAGGTCCTTATTGAGTGCTTCTGTGTTAGGCCTGCGTTGGGTAATGGGTGTGGGGATGAGTGGTGCTTGCAGCTAATGCCCACCTAGTTTCAAGGTTCTAGCCCATTCAGATTTTGATCTGACTTAGGCAGAGTCCTCTGTGTTCCAAAGGCTCCCCCAAAAGAAGAGATAATGAAAATAAACCTCCCAGGAAGAGTGCAAAAGAGCATCTTAACCCAGTGTTTGCAGGCATCCCTGACATAGACCCCTAGTCCCAGTGGACACGACCAAGAGAGGGGCTCAATATCTTTACCTCAGAGGAACCAGTTGATGTTGGGACTTGAGGACAAGATTTGGCCTCTGTGATATTGCAACAGATGTTTCCAACCCAGATGCTCAGCCTGTATTTTCTGGCTTAGTGCTGAGAGGCCATTTTGTAATAGGAGCTTTGAAACGCTGCTTCAGAAAGAATCAGCCACCTGCAGGAAACTTGCACACTGCCTAAGAAACTACTGAAGTCCAGTGTGCCAACCTCTGTTTGGAAAATTACATAGGTCGTGTGCCCAGTGCCTTTTCCACCATCCTCCACTGCAGAACCTTCCCAAGGCAGTGTGAGGATGTGGAAAAGCCATCAGCTTACAGAGAAGACAGCATGAACCAAACTGTTACAACTGGACAGTGGAATGGGCAGCACAATCTACTAAGTTTGGTGTTGTGACTGTTTTCAGATTTGGAGACGCTGCCCTTTCCAAATGAAACCATGTCACACATTATAAAAAGCATAGTTTGTAATGTAAGCTGACATCCCTCACTTGGAACATGGGTGGCATCTGTATAAACACCACTGTTCTCCAGCTTTTCCTGTGTGCTTCTGTTCAACAGCTACCAGATCATGTTGGATTGCTGGCACAAAGACCCTAAAGAAAGGCCGAGGTTTGCAGAACTTGTAGAGAAACTAGGTGACTTGCTTCAAGCCAATGTCCAACAGGTAAAGCTAAATTTATCTAGAAAATCAGAAAGCCTGGGGCTGGGCTGGGAAGATGGTTCCGTGATTAAGAATGCATACTACTCTTGCAGAGGACCTGAGTTCAGTTCCCAGCACCCATGTTGTGTAGCTCACAACAGCCTATAATTTCAGCTCTAAGAACTCTGATACCCTCTTCTGGCCTGTGTGGGTACTGTACTCACTCAACATGCACACACATGTACAAGCACATGTATACACATAATTAAAAGTAAAAATTTAAAAATCATTAGAAAAAATAAGATAAGAAAATTGGATGTACCCAGTGGGGTATTGTTTGTGTTTTAAGAGCTTTAATAGGAGAACACCATTTTTTAAAGTGAGAGAGAGAGAGAGAGAGAGAGAGAGAGAGAGAGAGAGAG